AAAGAAATCCGGGGTCTATTCCTTATGTCGTGATATAAAATATGCATTATTTGTACATGTAATTTTTTAACCAGTTTAAAATTTGAATCTTTTTTATGGATATCTGCCTGTTTATATTGGCTCCTTATATGTTAATGATTACAATTTCTTCAGTTATGGTAGCAAAGTAGTCATGTACTGAACCCAGATGTCTTTATGTGAAACCCGAAATTAAATCAATATCTTACTTCATTTAATAAAATATGAACAAGTCCATATAAAACCAAATTAATAAAATGTTAAAATAATAAATGTATTGATAACTACCAAATTATAATATAAGAAGGGATATCTAAAACTAGTTTCCATAATAGGGCTACCTTTGGTTATAATACCAATAATATTGAAGAATGAGGAAAAATTTCAAACTTTTGCTTAAATTGGAATTTCATAACTGACCGGCATGGTTTCAAAAATCGAAACTATGGATTAATATGTTAGCTTCCTTTTAATTAGAGTGTGTTTTCAATTCATATATAGTCGATGTGAACTTATATATATAATTCACATGGTTAAATAAATTTAAATAAAAAAAACAATATAAGACAGCCATGGCTTTCCATATCTTTTAGATAGTTTTATTGTAATTATCTGACGTTTTAACTCTTGTTAACTCATCTGTTGGGAGAAAAAAAGATCTTTTGTCACCACCCTCTCGTGGACGTTTACGTTGATTAACCTTTCCTCTAAGGTCCATTTTCTTATTACCGGCGTTATAAAAATATTATTTGTTGGATAACGGCAAAACTATTCGTATACATGTTTTATCATAAAATTGCACACTTTTTAAAGGGCAAATGGTCCTATAACTATTACTTTTTTCAATATGCCGTTTTTCAATTTAGATTTTTGTTTTGCTCTTGTTAATCTTATTTTGTTTTGGTCCTTTTTCTCAGATTTGATCACACTTATTCACTATAAACTCGGTATACAGGACTTTTGAATATGACACAATTTCAGGACACTAAAAAACACGTGTTTTTTAGTAATATCGGAAAAATGACGGTTTAAGGAAAGAGACATCTACGTTAAAAAAATCGTAACATTCAATCAAATTTGAGTTCTACAAACATCTATTTTATACCGAAACCAAGTGCCTATGGTAAAAACACGTACCTAGATTGATGCCATTGCAAGTTTTAGGCCCTTTCCGGCGATTTGCATCGAAAATGAAGTTGATCTTTTATTATGTGATGTGAATGAAACATAGCAACATAATTTAAAAAAAAACAAAACAAAAAAAACTCATGACATCTGTATTTTCAGAGTGTCTGTGTAAATATTCGTGAAAAAGAAGGTCAGGAGCTGATTAAACAGGTAGCAGAATTTTTTCCATGGCTTTGTGACGTCATTAATAAAACGCAATTTAAGTTCCCTTGTTCTTTTTTTATTGAACATGCAAGATATGTTTGAAACCTGTGTTAAATCAACCCGGGGATTCAATTTGGTTTGAAGTGTATTGGACCTGATCACATTGATCATATTTCTAGAAGTAACTATGGATATGCATACTTTATTGAAATTAGATGCGGAACTTTTTGAATTTCTCTTCCGATATTGACCGACCACTGATACTCCAATTACCGAATCATTTTATCATTACATTAATAGTGATCATTGCAGTTGCAAAATTAATTGGAACGTTATTTAAAACCGTTATTACATCTGGTATAGATTCTGAAAAGAAAAGAAAAAACCCTACAATTAATGGTCTGAAATTGTACTGTTTTCCTTCGTTGTCTAAAGTTTAGATACATACGATGATTCTATCCGAGCAGCAAGTTTTTGTTTTTTTTCCAGTTAGCCAAGAAGAGCGACGTCCTCCTTGAAAATTATATTCCAGGAAAACTGTCTGAATTTAACCTTGGATATGAACACATTGCCGAAATAGCTCCCCATCTTGTTTATTGCTCCATAACAGGTGAGATAGCTCCCCATCTTGTTTATTGCTCCATAACAGGTGAAATAGCTCCCCATCTTGTTTATTGCTCCATGACAGGTGAGATAGCTCTCCATCTTGTTTATTGCTCCATAACAGGTGAGATAGCCCCCCATCTTGTTTATTGCTCCATAACAGGTGAGATAGCTCCCCATCTTGTTTATTGCTCCATAACAGGTGAGATAACTCCCCATCTTGTTTATTGCTCCATAACAGGTGAGATGCCCCCCATCTTGTTTATTGCTCCATAGACAGGTGAGATAGTCCCCCATCTTGTTTAATTGCTTCCATAACAGGTGAAGATAACTCCCCATCCTTGTTTATTGCTCCATAACAGGTGAGATTAGCTCCCCTTCTTGTTTATTGCTCCATAACAGGTGAGATAGCCCCCCATCTTGTTTATTGCTCCATAAACAGGTGAGATAGCCCCCCATCTTGTTTATTGCTCCATAACAGGTGAGATAGTCCCCCATCTTGTTTATTGCTCCATAACAGGTGAGATAACTCCCCATCTTGTTTATTGCTCCATAACAGGTGAGATAGCTCCCATTCTTGTTTATTGCTCCATAACAGGTGAGATACCTCCCCATCTTGTTTATTGCTCCATAACAGGCGAGATAGCTCCCCATCTTGTTTATTGCTCCATTACAAATGAGTTTTTTTATTCATTTTTACCCTTATAGATTTGTTCTACGGTTGCACATCTAATCTTACTATAACCAAAAGGACAGAACGGATGTTTAGACTGGTCAGTTCACTCAAAAGGGATTCAGTAACATAAAAATATTTATCAATTCTTGCATATTGGAACCTTGGGTGATTGAACCCTTTGATGATTGAACCGTTGACGATTTGATCCGTAGATGATTGATTCCACTTGCCTCTTTCAGTGTCTGAATACAAGTGTGGATTTTTTTTCTGACTTAATCTCGCTTAATTATCTAAATGTCTATATCAATTATATATTTTGAAACTTTTTCTGGTTTTGAATAGAGCATTCCGTCCATTTTGAAACGTATTGTTTATTGTCGTGTCAAGTAATTGTTTTTTTTTCTATTTCGTGTTATGTTTACCAATTTAAACAAGAAATGTACCAATGACGGACACATCATTGGCTCAAACCTTTGATTTTCTGTTACCAGGGTATGGTCAAACTGGACCGGATGCCAAACGTGCCGGATATGACGTCATCGTAGCAGCAACCGGGGGATTAACTCATATTACAGGACCCGAGGTTTATCGCTTTATTCAGATCGATAATAGAATGAAAACTGAAGATCGTGGACATAAATTTATCCTGTTGTATCGTTTCTTGTTTGTTAGCTACATAACAAACTTGTGATTTTCCCCCGGAAAATGGTCCGAATCCAGTTGTTAGTGATTTCCTCCCGGTGAAGTGCTTAATATCCCATGTTTATACATGTATACATTGCTTAGGCCAGTCTTGAAAATATCTTTGTTTACGCTCTCGCGACCCATGCTAGTTTTGGTAGGGTAGGGATGCAGTAAAATATTTTTATTGTTAAGAGTATATGTATTTTAAAAATAGAAGATATTTGTATTGTAAGAATCTATACAAAAATGATTAAAACCTCCAAATTTTGTAAGTTTTATACATTTAACATGTGTATGTATACATGTACAATACCAATAAAGCATTCGAATTGTAACAAATATAAAAATGTGCGATTCTCAGTTACAAACTCTTTTCCATGTTTAGAAAATAATTTTTCGATGTTTTTTTTTTGTGGCAGGTAGCAATATTTTTTATCAGGCCTATCAATATTAACATGGTAAACAAAAAAACAAACAAAATACCGGAAAAAACAACAACAAAAAAAGGAAAAATTTTAGAATTAGAAAAAAAAAACGACAGCAGTCGTGACTTTAAGTCTTTATCCGTCAAACTCCGAAAAAGGCGCTATGAAGCACACTGAAGATTTTTGTTTTTAATGAAGAATAAACAAATAATAAAAATACCCTAAGATGTAAACATGGTTTTAGGACTTTTGTATTTTGTTTGTTTAGTTGATTTACCCATGCCATCGCAGGGAGCATAATTTGCTTTAATTTTTTAAAATCCGCAGGGTGGCGAACCATGCAAAGTTGGCGTGGCTATGACAGACTTATCAACGGGGTTGTACGCATACGGGTCAATTTTAGCAGCGTTATTACATCGGTCTAAAACAGGGCGTGGCCAGCATATTGATTGTAATTTATTGTCAACTCAGGTTTGTGCTATCATTTTTAAAGCTATGCAACAAATAATTTTTACTAAATGTTCATTTAATATCAAAATTGAGGACCTCGTGACCAACTGATCTAGGTCGCTAAATGCAAATAAGTTCGAATTTCGATGGCATACTTAATTATTTCAAGTGAAAAAGTTATAGCGACAGTTGATTGTTCAACCCTTACTGCCTTTTAGGATAACTTTGAACTCTTCAGGGTAAAACTATTCAAATTCAGCATCACGTTTAATTTTAGATAAATTTGACCTAAATACACGTAAATTACTTCAAAATAAACCCCTTAGTCACGTTGTATATATCATGCTATCAATTTCCATGAAACTTTTCAATCCATTTCAACCCGCACACCGCCTACCCTTAGCCAAATGGAAAATTTAATACCACATGATAACTAAATGGACGACACCATGCGAAATGCCATCAGCCATTTTTGTCGGGTTTTCTTATATAAAAAATTGAAATACTAACTTCCTCTTAACCTCGGAATCGTTTACCATAACAACTATAAATAATGGACTTGACCTTGGAACAACCCATTTCTATATTAAGACGTTCCATTGTAAAAAAAAAGCGGACACTTCGTAGCCAATAATTAAAAGTGTCGTCAGACTGCATGGAACTGTAGCCTGGCCTGGCTTTATACTTGTTGCATAGACAAGCTATTATCACCGCTGACATTCGGAGGATTCTGAAAGAATAGTTAAGGTCCCTTGGCTTTAAGTCATTCTCTGCGACCATTGGACATTGCATTTTGAAATAACACTAGATAGCACGTGGTAATAAAATAGAGATGATTTAGATTTAATGAATGGGAAGATAAGGAAAAAAAATGCATTTAAATATTTTTAATCTGTACGAAGTGTTTAATCCTTTATACGCTAAATATCTGTAAAGGTCTCGACAATCTTTCAATCTATCAAAAATCATTAATCATTTTTAAGAAAAATGTAATCAAAATAAGTACGGACTAAATAATCAATGTTACACCTTAATATTTTGGCCTGCATAATGCACACCTTAATATCTTGGCCTGCATTGATAGAAGACCGTCGGCATGATTTGAAGTTTAATAAGCTTCTTTTATTGTTAGTTATTGTGTGTTTAAACAGGTAGCATCTCTAGTCAATATTGCCAGCAATTATCTAAATGCGGATATGGAAGCTCATAGACGAGGCACGTCACATCCGAGTATAGTTCCTTATCAGGTATCACATCGATATTTCTCAATTTATTTCTTTTTTTCTATTTGACAAGCGTGCATCTCATCTCTTTACAATAAATATAGATATTCCCAATATTTACCCTGATGACATTATATAATTATGCCCCCACTTGGTCCGTAGACCAAATGGTTTCCGAATGATAACTAAAGAACGCTTAGGCCTAGGATCTTCAAACTTGGTATGGTGATTGGTCATGACCAGTAGATGACACCTATTGATTTTGGGGTTAAGGGGTCAAAGGTCAAGGTCACATTGACCTTGTATGTTAAAACGGTTTCCGATCAATAACTAAAGAACGCTTAGGCTTAGGATCTTCAAACTTCATATGGTGATTGGTCATGACTAGCAGATGAACCCTACTGATTTAAGGGTCAAGGGGTCAAATGTCAAGGTCACATTGACCTTGTAGGTAAAAACGGTTTCCGAACAATAACTAAAGAACCCTGAGTCCTAGGAACTTCAAACTTGGTATGGGGATTTGTCATGACCAGCAGATGACCCCTATTGATTTTGGGGTCAAGGGGTCAAAGATCAAGGTCACATTGACCTTGTAGGTAAACGGTTTCCGATCAATAACTTAAGAACGCTTAGGCCTAGGAACTTCAAACTTGGTATGATGATTGGTCATGACCAGCAGATGACCCCTATTGATTTTGGGGTCAAGGTCACATTGACCTTGTAGGTAAAAACGGTTTCTGATCAATAACTAAAGAACGCATAGGCCTAGGAATTTCAAACTTGGTATGATGATTGGTCATGACCAGCAGATGACCCCTATTGATTTTGGGGTCAAAGGTCAAAGTCACATTGACCTTTTAGGTAAAAATGGTTTCCGATCAATAGCTAAAAAAGCTTAGACCTAGGTACTTCAAACTTTGTATGATAATTGGTCATGACCAGCAGATGACCCCTATTGATATTGGGGTCAATGTGTCAAAGGTCAAGGTCACATTGACCTTGTAGGTAAAAACGGTTTCTGATCAATAACTAAATAACGCTTAGGCCTAGGAATTTCAAACTTGGTATGATGATTGGTCATGACTAGCAGATGACCCCTATTGATTTTGGGGTCAAAAGTCGATGTCACATTGACCTTTTAGGTAAAAACGGTTTCCAATCAATAACTAAAAAGGCTGAGGCCTAGGTACTTCAAACTTGGTATGATGATTGGTCATGACCAGCAGATGACCCCAATTGATTTTGGGGTCAAAGATCAAGGTCACATTGACCTTGTAGGTAAAAACGGTTTCTGATCAATAACTAAAGAACGCTTAGGCCTAGGAACTTCAAACTTGGTATGATGATTGGTCATGACCAGCAGATGACCCCTATTGATTAAAGGGCCAAGGGGTCAAAGGTCAAGGTCACATTGACCTTGTAGGTAAAAACGGTTTCCGATCAATAACTAAAGAACCCTTAGGCCTAGGAACTTCAAACTTGGTATGATGATTGGTCATGACCAGTAGATGACACCTATTGATTTGGGGGTCAAGCGGTCAATGTAATAGTGACCTTGTACTTAATGACCGATTCTGCCCAATAACTCAACAACTCAAGTTGCCTTGGTTGATATTGTTATGTGCTTTTGGTATACACATTTGAAGGTCTTATGTAATATAACAACTTGGCTGTCATTAATGAGGCTTATGTGATTCATAAAATTTATGTATATACATTGTTTGGTAAGATTTTTAATAACTTTAATTGCTGCACACAACCTATGGGGTCACAATAATTATTACCTTGTGACTAGTCATGACCAGTAGATACTAGATAACCCTTATTAATTGTTTGTTCACTGGATCAGAAGTCATGCATAATAACCTGATCACATGACAAACCGGCTGCTGATAGGGGGCATACATGTTTTACAAACATATCTTGTTGATATATAATTGACTTAATCTAACCTGATTTAAGATCTTTCGAATAATATCAGTATAGGTAACTAAGCGCGGATATAATTCTCATATTGTCACACAACTAAGCGTGGACATATTTTTCATCTTGTCACATAACTTTGCACAGACACACTTTTATTTTGTCAGGTAACTCAGCGCAGATAATTTTCTGATATTGTCACGTAACTATTTCTAAAATTGCTAAGTATTTAAGCGCGGACAAAAATTTCTCATATTGCCTCGTGGCTTAGCGCGTTCACATTTCTTATATTGTCACGTTACTTAATGCGAACAGTCACGTAGCTTAGCGCAGACACATTTCTTATATTGTAACTTGGCTGGACACATTTCTCATATTGTCACATAGTTTAGCCGGACACATTTCTCATGTTGACAGGTAAATTACCGCGGACACATTTCACACATTGTCACATTACTTAGTGAGTAAACATTTTTCATATTGTCACGTCATAGTGCGGACACATTTCTTACATTGTCACGTAGTTTTGCGCAGACACTTTGCAAATATTGTCATGATACTTAGCGTGGACACATTGTATATATTGTCACGTTATTAAGCCCTGAGACATTTCAAATATTGTCATGTAACTAAGTGCAGACAAATTACTCATATTGATACGTAACTTAGCAACTTAGACGTTTAACCATTCATTGTTAGTAACTAAGCGAAGACATTAACCTTCCAAAGTTCGTCTGTACTTTTGATGAGGATTGTTCTGACAGGTTCATTTGCATTAATAATATAAAAGGAGATTGTGACAAATCTAGTTTTATGTAGAATTCCCAGAATGGTGCATTTATTATTTAAATGTTTCATATGTTACTACTGCTTTAAGGCATTTGGAAAAAACCAAAGCTGGTTATGTGATAATCTGGGTTGCGTTTCATAGAAATTCCGAAATCTGAAATCATTCTAAAGACCGAAACGGTGACAACTTTGCACTTAAAAGAAAACTTCCCAAATCATGACTCGAATGTTATGGCTTCCTAAATGTTTGAATAGAAGTGTACATCATATTGCAGATTTAAGCATATTATAATGCCTTTCTTATCTATTATCAGGAAAAATGATTTTAATTATAGTCTGCCGTCTTTGACTTATGGTAAAAATGTTCATTGAAATAATCTAGTAACAATAATCTTTAAATTGGTTTTAAGTCCTTGGACTAAGGCTATGCTAAGGACTGGGTTTTAGGTTAACTTTTAATGCATCTGCCGAAAGTAACTAAGACATTTGTGGATATGTTAAGCTCCTTTTTAGGCATGTTTAACCTTACGTTTTGAAGCAATCCTTTTTATAAAGGCTTTCAAGTTCATACATCACCAATCGATATGTACTGGTCTTGTTTTGTAATTTTGAGACATTTGACGATTATGTAATGTTGTAGCATTTAAGTCAAAATATTCTGTTTAGGCATATCGGACCATAGTTGAATATGTTCTTATACAGTGTTTTAGTCATTTGATACCTTTATTTGATGCCTGGTTAAACATTAACTTGTGTTTTAGGCGTTTGAGACTGTAGATGGTTATGTCATGGCGGGAGCGGGTAATGATAAACAGTTTGAAATTCTTTGTAAGGTAACGCTGTTGTTAATGATTATTGAAGAATGAATAACACAATGTTCAAAACCAGTTAATTTGGCTTTTTCCAGTAATTAACTCATACTCAAACCCACTATATTGGTTTTGTGGTGACGCGGCTCATATGTACTGTAAATTCTTATTAACTCTGTATATTACTTGGTGGATAACACTAAATGTATAGTTATATAATTATCAATGTCGTACACCATTTATCATGTAATTTTTATTTATTTGTATTATTTAGAGAAATGGGCAGTTTGTAAATATTCTGAATTTTCTACATAGGTGTTTCGTCAGGATTCTTTAAGTAAATACTTGTTATGAATATTTTATTAAAGTTTTAAGGGAAAATGATGAACATTTTTAATACAAATGATTATTTTCAACTTATTATGATAAATAAATATTACATCTTAAAAACTTACGAAAGAAAATAACGAATGTTTAGCGTATAGGTTTACCAGATGTTTGTGACAATGAAGATTATACAACAAACAGACGAAGAGTTCATAACAGGAAATCACTGATAGACATATTAAGCAAGAGGTAAACAATTTGAAAAAAAAAATGCAACAACACACAACAACAACAATATCAAAAACAAAAGCAACAAAAACAAAACTCTGTAAGGAAACAAAAACAACACATGTGGCAGACACAACAAAAGAAACAAGATTATTATTAGCGTCTGAGTTGAAATGTTTTTTTAAACACATTTCTGGAAGATTTATAACAATTGTAAAATATCTGCAGAGAACTTTTTTTTAAAATTACTTTATTTTGATTACTAGATTTTGAATCGTTGTTCAAAAATATTGACGTCAATATGCACGTCACTAAGGCTTAAATAATCCTAGATAGTGACTGATTCCTAAATTAGATATTTGGTTTGATGGTGCACAGCTTGAACCTTGTCTCAAGTTTGGCTTAGGGTATTTAGGTCAAAATCATCGAGGTCAAATGTTCTTCATACATGTAGAACCTTACTATAGTATTTATTGACTGGAGCTAAATATTAAAACTATTTCCCCTGTCTCTGTATTTTAGCAATATTTTAGTGGTGTAAGATCGGTGACTGATATGTTATATTCTTGTATGTTTTAGATTCAAATTAAAGACAACTTCTGATTGGTTGTGTGTATTGAGGGATTCTGGGATACCGTACGGACCAATCAACAATATGCAGCAAGTTTTCTCCGATCCTCAGGTCTGTCATTTATTTCATTTTGGATATAATCTAGTCTTTTATTTTGGATATTTTCTAGAAACTTAATTTATAATTTCACCAGGTTTATAGAAACTTATTTTGTAATTTCACCAGGTTTATAATAAAGAGTCAACTTTGGCCATTTTAGGTGTCCAAATCGTGTATTTTGAATGGTGCTCCACTGAGAGCTTTTCCTCTGAAATGTGGGTCTGTTTTTGACTCTATGGCATGGTTCTTAAGGGGTTGCGTTCTTTAAACGCATGTCTTCCTTGTTGACATTTGTCGCCAAATTTTTCAGTTTTGAAACCTAATGTAAAATGGTTTTGAACTAGTGACGAAATCTAGAACTAGTAAAATAGAAGATTGTCTCCCTTTTGTTTAAATACCAGAAGTCTCTAACTACATAAACGCAAATTATGATTTTTTTAAACAGGTGCTACATAACTGCATGATTCAGGAGATGGATCATCCTACAGCCGGAGATATACGTGTAGCAGGTAATACATATATAATATGTGTATATTTTGAGAGGATATTGACAGTATCTCGTTTAGCAAGTCAAATTTATAGTGGTCTTTGTAGAACTATTTACTCCTGAAAAAACAAATATATTAATATTAAGATTCTTATTTTGATAAAAGATAGTAATTTTTGTGTCGCCTCTACGGAGTAGTGGCGACATATAGGGATCACTTCTCCGTCGTCTGTCTGTCCGCCTGTCTGTCCGTCTGTCCGTCACAAAACTTGTCCGGACTTCTCCTCATAAACTACTGGTGCAATTTCATCCAAATTTTACAGGAATGATCAGTACCAAGTCTAGTTGTGCATATTGTTAGCATTTTCCAGTTCAATGATTTTTGTCAGAGTTATGGCCCTTTAATAATTTTTATGTATAAAGTTTGTCCGGACTACTTCCTTTATACCACTAATGCAATTTCAATGAAACTTTACAGGATTGATCTGTAGCTCAAGTCCTTGCGCATACTGTACGGGTTTTCCGGTTGAATGATTTTTGGTCAATTATGGCCCTGTGATAAAAAGGTGTTTTTTTCTGTGTATTGCCAGATACACAAAAGCTTGTTCGGACTACTCCTTATAAACTACTAGTGCAATTTTATCCAAACTTTACAGGAATGATCAGTACCAAGTCTAGATGTGCACTGTCCGTCTGTCTGTCCGTCTGTCACAAAACTTGTCCCAACATGAAATTGGCCATCACTGGCCGACACATGTGATAACTGATCGCTCTTGTTATTTGTATGAAGACTGTTTAATATAAAGATATTTAATGGTAAAACGTGTGCATGATCTTGGATTGTCACTTGTTACACTACTTGTAAAGCCCAATTAGTTTCAAACAAAAATATTCCATTCTAAATATATGAATAGTAGGCCTATACATGTCAGAGAGATAAGTGGACATTCGGTTAGATAGAAACATTGCCAAATATGTGTACAAATAGGTCAGCATACTAATTGATGTTCACAACAGTTTGTCTGAAATCATTAGTCTGTTTGACGTAAATATACTTAAATTTTCAAATATCTATTTCCATAGCAACTTGACTCATGATTGTTTGTTATTCTGACTTCATACAAAAAGCTTTATGACAATGCAGTTTGGGATCTTTTCCTAACGGGAAAATAGGGGAATTCCGTTGTCACTTACCTGATGTACATGTTTTAGTAGGGAAGACTATCACATACCTTGTTCCGCTGTATCTTTTTTAGCTCATTTGAGCTAGCTCAGGGTGAGCTTTAAGGATCGTTAAATGTCCGTCGTCCGTCGTCTGTAATCCGTCGTCCGTCCACACTTGTTCGTTAACACTCTAGCAGTCACATTTTAGCCTCAATCATCATCAAACTTGACGCTTTAGTTGATAGCTCGGATCAGTTTTAACATGGGTTATCTCGGATGAAAAACTAGGTCGGAGGAGCTAAGAATAGAAAAAAAACCTTGTTAACACTCTCAGGGCTGGGAATCAAAACTGCGTCGTATCCTACAAAATGTAAACAAACGCCGCCATCTTGGAACAAAAATGTTATGTTTTTGTTTTTTAACTCTTTTGTTGGGAAAAACGAAAACCAAAACTATTAACACCTACCAAAATTTTTGCTCGTTCGGATAAATTTTCTAGAAAAACTATTTTTTAAAACAAAAGTTTTAGGGGAACTTTCAAAATCAATGGAGCCCGAATTTTTGAAATGGTTTGGGTAACCAGTTTCATAGCTTTTTCAAAGTTTTTCCTTTAAATAAATTTTATACTCTTTTTAGAACATTTAAACTTTCCAAAAAAAATATTTTTCATTTATTTACTAAATTTCCCCTTTAAAAAAAGGGGGGTTTTTTTTTTTCCAAGAAATAATGAATTTTTCGAAAGGGTTTCAAAAGCCCTTGAAAAAATTAAAAAAAGAACCCGCAGTTTTATTTTTAATTTCAGGGGCATTTGGGTTTTTAAACTGTTTAAAATTTTTGAGTAAAGGGTTTAAAAACGCCAAAAAACAATTTCTTGTTTACAACTTAATTCAAAAGCAGAGGTCACTCATTGGTTCCATAAAAAATGGAAATGCAATACGTACAATTCTATTAAAGGCTGCGTTTTTCGGTCGCATTTAAGTACCCATCATAAGCATCTACAAATTCCGAAAAGCTGTATCAAATGCAATATACATTGAAACACGTGATCGCACTCCCATATGTCAACGTGTTCCAGTGTTGCCTTAGCATGCTTCTAAAATTGTTCCCGTGAGTTCGAAATGGAGTGATTACTATTTTTGATACAAAAATCATATTCCAGTGTAACCTCTCCTGGACCCTGTACAAGTATTAATCAGGAATGACCTTTTTTTTTTTTTTTAAAAAAAAGAGAAAGAATTACAAATTTTGAAAAGTCTCTTGCTATCGGAAGAGAGCTATGCGCAAATTGCATGGTTACCTTTGTTACTTGTAATTAGCAATAATTTTCGTCAATTCCGTTATTACTTATGTCTTTTACGTGCCGATTTTATTGTATTCATTTTCTTATAATAAATCGGGTGAGAACAGATGAGCTTTATTATTTGAAACTGAACATTGAATTTTTAAAATTATATCATAAATGGTTAAGCTACAAGATATTTTTGAAGAAAGGTTTTTCCCTTTTCCTTTTTCATTTTGTTCAGCGCCCGGGAACTTTACCTCAATTTTGGGCGTATTGCATTTTTATCGCCGAGGAAAGGGCACGGGAAAATTTTTTAAATTTGTATCATTTTTTTTCCATTAAAAAATTAAATTTTAAAAAAACAGTTAAAATAATTAAAATACAAAATATAATTAAATTTTTAAAAAAAAGGGTTCCCTTTTTCAAAGGATTTTTCGCCGATAAATTTATTTCAGATATAGGCAACAAAAATTTTCCCGTATTGAAAAAATTTTTACAATATTGAAAAGAAAAATTTTTTTCAAAATTAAACCATCGAATTTTTAATAACTGAGACCCTGGGACTTTAAAATAAACCCTTTAACTAAAGTTTGTTTTTATTTGAAAAAAATTTTAAAAAAGGGTTTTCAGAAAAAAGACCTTTTTCAGAGGATTACCCCCTTTTTCATTTAAAAATTTTTTCCCCACTAGTCAACCAAAAAAAAAAATTTTAAAATTTTCCTTTAATTAAATTTAAATATTTTTAATTTTTAAAAACCCCACGCCAAAAATTTAAAAAAAAAGCCGCTATTTGTCAGCGACTTAAAAAAATTTTGTTTAAATAAAAATTTCCCACCCCGTGGGGGACCCCCGGGGGGCTGTTTTTGGTTTTAAATGGGGGGGGAACAAATCACTTTAATTGACCTAACAAGAATTCGAAAAAAAACCCGACTTTTTATTTCTTCGTGGGAAAAACTATCAACATTTTTAAAAAAGTCGATGGTTTTTCTCAGGGCAACATTTTTCCCCGAAACCCAAAGCCAAAAAAGAGCACCCGAGTCCCCCCCCCAAAGCTAAAAGTAAAAAGTGAAAGTTTTAAAAAAAACCAAAAAAAAAAGCAATCAATTTTCCCAAAAACATGCAAACCAAAATTAACTTAGAGCGTAACCAACATTAATTCAAAATTTAATTTTTCATATTTTTGCGAAAAAAAATTTGGTAAAAATTGAACAAACCCCCAAAAAAATAAAAATTTTTTCAAATATTTGATCAAATTTGTAAAAATTTTATGTTTAAAAGAAAAGTAACTTGCAATTAAATTCAAATTAAAAAGTTATATTGGGCATGAACAATTTAATTTTTAAAAAAATCCCAAAACAACAAACATTTCTCCACCGCAAAAAAATCTGGGTTTTTTATCTTTGCGCAAGATTTTTTCCAAAAAAAATAAAATATATGCCAAAATTTTCCCCGTTTAAAAGACGCCAAAAAAACAACTCGTATTTATATTTAATTTTTAACTGCCCTATCCCTTTTGTTAAAAACATTAATTTTTTAAAAAAAATAAAAAACCCCTTTTTAAAAAATTTTTAAATGAAAAGCAAAAAATTTAATTTTGAAGTTTTTGGGTGAAATTTTAAAAAAATAAAAAATGAATTTTAAGAAAAAAAAAGATAATAAAGCCAAAAATGAAAATCTCGGTTTTCCACACATTTTTATTAAAAAATTTTGCTCCGCTTCGAAAATTCAAGGGTTCCCCTATAACCTTTTTTTTACAAAATAGTTTTGGGAAGCCAAAAATAACCCAACGAAGCCGGGAAAAAAATTTTTCGTTTTTAATAATATTTTCTGGTTTTTAGTCATGTCCAACAAAAAAAGTTATAAACAAAAACATACGTTTTTCGTTCCAAGATGGCGGCGTTTGTTTACATTTTGTAGGATACGACGCAGTTTTGATTCCCAGCCCTGACTCTAGCGGTCACATTTTTGCCTCAATCATCATCAAATTTTGTCAGATTGCTTATCTAGTTAATAACTCTGATCGGATCGAACATATGTGATCTCGGATAAAAAACTAGATCACAAGAGCTAAAAATAGAAAAAAAACTTTGTTTACAGTCTAGCGGTGACATTTTTGCCTCAATCATCATCAAACTTTGTCAGGATGCTTGTCTAGGTGATAGCTCGAATGAGTTCGAAAATGGGTTATTTTAGATGAAAAACTAGGTCACCGGAGCTAAAAATAGAAAAACTTAGTTAACACTCTAGTTGTCATCTCGCATGAAAAACTAGGTCAGAATGCTTGTCTAGGTCAATGCTCGAGTGAGTTCGAACATGGGTCATTTTCGGTGAAAAACTAGGTCACCGGAGCTAAAAATATAAATACCTTTTTAACACTCTAGTGGCTACTGTTTTGATCCAAATATCCTGAAAACTGGTCTGAAAGTTTGTTTTGATGATTTCTAGGTCAAGTTCGAATATGGGTCACCTGGATAAAAAAGAAGGTCACACTGCTCAAATATGGATAACCTTTGTTAACACCCCAGTGGTCACACTTTTGACTCACGTGTCATGAAACTTGGTCAGAATGATTTTCTTGTCTTTGTATCAGTTCGATGGGTCAGGTGTGCGATCTGGGGCCATCATGGCCAACTTGTTTTTTTTATGCGCTTGAAACGTGTTACGGGATCAATAAGTAAAGAAAAAGTAATTGCAAAACATTCAAAAGCATACATATTAGATAAATGTAAATTATCATTGGTAGTGGATGAAAATGTAAACAACGTTAGACAAGATAGTGAAACGCACAAAGAATTGTTGCTATATACCGGGAAATGGTCTAATTTTAGAGATTCTTATCCCTCCGTATCAGGTAAACTTTTTAATGACAATTTTAAGATTGTGACGTGTTCAAACAATCGGCTTGTAGATTGGAAGTAAGCTTTGATGACTGTAGCTCATACACCAAAGTAAATATGGGAAATCAAGAAAAAAATTAATCAATATTTCCTGTTTAGAAAAGTGAAAAGGGGGATTGCGTTCATCGCCAAGATCCCTTTAAGAGTATATGGGAAAGATTAATAAGATGTTAACTAGCTCCTATATAATTTGTTTGATTGGCATATCTAAAGCAGTTTTGCGTATTATCAACCATGCATGTACACGTGTGTGCTCGTTGCGAGACACATTGTTATTCAGCCAGTCCAATCAGGGTGGCAGTTTTCAAAACTAGCACCATGTTCCCTAGGTTTGTTATTTTTAAATGATGAACGCTGGCTGCCAATGTCAAATGTTATAATGTGACCAAAATGAAAATAAAATAAAAAAAATCTTTGGCGACATTTATAAGGACAGTTGCTTGGCCAAGCCGGATATTTTGTCCGACAATGTTGTCATATTGCAGCCTTCTACACAATGCTTCTGATTGTACAGTGTCATGAATAGCCTTCTGCATTTTAAAGGCAAATAATTAAGTGTGCTGAAAAAAAAACATTCATGAAATATTAGTGATATAATCAGTTGATTACTGCCGGCATTTTTTTCCCTTTTTGTCAGGGGGCCCACAAACCGGGGCAACGTTATTAAAAGGAAATCACATACTCAAAGAAATTCTTAAAATAAGCAATAAGAGCTTTCCAATATAAAAGCCCGGGATAAATTTATTAAAAAAAAACCCCAAAAAAAAACCCCCTCCTTTTCAATTAAAAACCCAATTTTAAAAACAAACTTATTATAATACATTGTAAGAAAGAAGTGGTCTGTTTATAGTAAAATTTTGACACTGGCAAACATTGCGACGACTATTTCCGGAAAAGATACAGATTGTAATTGTTGACGTCATGAGGTTTGATTGGCATATTAATAATTAAAGCTACAACTTGCATTATGAAAAAGTAATAAGTTGTGGGAGAATAATCACGAACGAAAATCCACTTTATAACAGACAAACCTTTGAAGCTGTAATTTCTTTTTCTTGTACTGGCTGTAAAGTCATGTATTGGAAACTGTAAGAGATAATTCCAAAGACTAAATTGCTATACAAAATGTTATGTATTTATGGAATTTATAAAGCAGTGGGACAGTAAATATTATTGTTGGCAATGTTATACCATGTGCAAGTGTTATAAACGCTTACTGAGGCGTTTTAATATTGACTCAATATTGTTACTTGAACAATTTTAGAAAAAAATGCTTAAAGACATGCTACATATGGATTGTCTAAATTTAAGACTTCCGGATCTAGATCGATAAATATCCGCATCATAATATATGAAAGTTTTTGGAGCAGGAAAATGATTTTGTTTCAGACGCTTATGTTAATGACTTTTGTCACTGATAAAATAAACAACATACATGTATTTCTAGCAAATCGTTCAGTAATGGAAATAAGTTAAACTGTGTCTTCATCTGAGTGATAATTAACGTGACGTTATTTGTGGAAAACTGACAATTCAACTATGACTAGGCCAGACTTTCAATAAAGTCACCAAAAATACTACATTAAACCGCATTTGGCTGGTCAGATTTTCCTCTATTTGTATGCCACCACAGCAGAAAAAACTAAAATTAAGACAGCCCATGTAATTTTGTAAAATGTCTTTATGCAACTTATATAGATTAAATAGTGAACTTAAAAAATCTCATTGTGAAAAAATAATTGTCCAATTTCAACCAAACTTGGCAGGATTTATCCTTTGGCAAAGGGCTTCTAATGTTGTTAAAAGAATTTGATTCCATACGGAAATCTTGTTGCCATGGCAACCAAAACGAATACTAATAATAAATTTAAAAAATCTCTTGTAAAGACCCACACGGCCTAAAGCATATATATTTTGCATAAAAGATTGTTTGGTAGACATCTATCAAGATTGTTAAAATTATAGCCCTTGGGTCGAAGTACATACAGTAAAAACTTAAAAATCTTCTTGTCTGAAGGTTCACTTGAGGCTTGGAGCTTTGGTATATAATATCATCTATAAGTCCTTTGAAATAGCTGTCAAAATTTGCCCCTGTTGCGCCGGGGTTGATATGCCTTCTAATATGTATATACAACAATTACATAGTTCCTTTGATCATGATAATTAATGGTATGTTATATTTTATTTCAGTATACAACAACATTTATTAAGCATTCAACACCTGAAAGGTATATAGGAAAAATTTAAAAAATCTTCCTATATGAATTGACTAAGGCTAGAGTTAAGAAAATTTGCATGAAACAGATGCTATATTAAAATCGAACCGTCTGTCTGTCTGTCTGTCATGAAAGGAGTTTGATTTTTCTTTCATATATGAAATAATCATTGTTGTATGGTGTCCCGTTCTACGACTAAGGTCAAGGTCACTGTGGGGTTCAAACTTTGTCATTTTTATGTTATATAAATATACAAGGTAGTGGTTATGTTGGCTCTGAAACTTCAGTAAGCAGGAAAGGATTTCACCTATGAAATAACCATAGATGTATGATGTGTTGCAAATAAGACTCAGGTTGCTACGACTCCGGTGAAGGTCACTGTGAGGGTTCAAACTTTGTCGTTTTTTTATGTTATAAAAATTGAGAAGGTTGTGGTTGTGGTTGTGTCCGCTCTGAAACTTCGGTATTCATGAAAAGATTGTAATTTTTCTTTCACATATGAATTTACCATAGATGTATGGTGTGTCGCGATAAAGACTGGGGTTTCTGCGTCTAAGGTCAAGGTAACTGTGGGGGTTCAAACTATGTCAATTTTTATGTTATGTAAATATAGAAGGTAGTGGTAATGTCGGCTATGAAACTTAGTATGCATGAAAGGATTTTACGTTTTCTTTCACATATGAATCATAGATGTATGGTGTGCTCAGGTTTCTACGACTCAGGTCAAGGTCACTCTAGGCGTTCAAACTTTGATGTAAATATACATCTAGGCAGAGATGGTCGTGTCTTGTATGAAACTTATATGCATGAACGTATTATATCTTTTAATTTCACATAAAGAATTATCATAAATATATGATGTTTGGCCTTTAAGACCCGTGTTCCTTAGTTCAAGGTCACTGCTGGGGTTAAAACTTTTTCAATATTTATGTTAATATACATATAAATGGTGGTTGTTGTGTCCGCTCTCTAACTTCCATATACATGAAAGTTTCAATTTGTATTTAGAAATATAAAGTCACCATAGATGGGACATTGTGTTTTGAACAAGACCCAGGTTTATTTGTCTAACTTAAAGGTCACTGCTGGGTTCGAACTGTGTCAATTTTTACCACCACACTTAACATGTAATAGGTGGTTTATAACTAGAATCCTTCGGGGGCATTTGTCACGTATTGTGACCGCTCTTGTTTCATATGTTTGTAAATCAACAGTACATTTTTGCCTTCTATGTCACTTCTTAAGTTTTGTATAAAGGTATCTATCAGTCTCTGGTTGAAAATTGGAACAAATATATTTGCCTTAATATTCAATGGATCTTTCCATATATATCCGAAACCATTCGAGTACAAATATCCTTTACAACAGAAACCAAATTTGACTTGCAACAGCAACTATCACACAACAGCAATGAATACATTTTCGATACGATACATTTGTTTGTATGATTTTAAACCAGAATCTTATTATTTTCACATTTTGCGCATACATCAATGGTGCAGACATACATCAATGGTCCAGACGTAATGGTATAACATGCAAACATAATTATAACGTAAAAGAAATGTTCTGTTTTTGACTTAAAATAATATCATATAACAACATTTTTATTTTTCACTTATCATTTGATAGGTCCGGCTGTGAAATTTGGGGCTACAGGTACTGTATTGAATCACGTTCCACCATTACTTGGAGAGCATACACGAGAGGTGTTAATGGAGTTGTTGGAGATGACGGATAGTGATATAGACTGTCTTATAAAACAAGGGATAGTGAAATGACTCTAGAATGTGTACAACGGGTCCAAACATTGATATGTATACGGATCATATATATATAGTAACAACATGTATTTTATGCGCCCTTAAGGCTGTATTATAAGATTTCACACGTTGAGTTTGCAGTATGCATTACTTAAAGGTTAATGTCGAAAAGCTACCATCGTTCAAGATGACTATATCGTTATACTGGATTCTGATGTTTACAATATGTTTGGCAATATTTTCGGGCTTTATATTTTCAGTATATTCGAGGATCACCAGTATACGGATTCATGATTAGCGGATATATTTCTACGCTAACTTATTCATCAAAAGTCATTTTTGCTCTGCGAATTTAAATACACATCTTTAGTACAGTATACAATCCATATTTCATGTAAAGGTCATACTTTTGCTTATACAAGTGATATTCAGCAGAATGCTAATTTTTCAAAGGTTACAAGAAAACTATAAATATAAATGCGTGACCGAGATAGATTCTCTGTGCTCATACTGGTATATTAATATGCTAAAATTGACAGTCTCACTGTCAGACAGTGGATCATAATGATGGATAAAGCATTAAACAAACAGATTCTTAATATATACTTTTCGATACCAACACATTGTAAAGGTCATATGGTCATTTTTTATTTTTTATTTTGGTGACAAACATTCCCAGAGTCCAAGCTGAAAGTTTGGTTTTGTTCAAAGCTCTGCAGAATTAATAAAATTAAAACAATATAAGCCAAAATGACTTTTTGACCTATTGACTGATTGTTTATTATGTTTATTTGTGCATTTTAGAACTGAAAGAGTTTATACATGTAGCTGGCACAATTTGATAATAAAAAATGTCTGAATACTGAGTCGTTAAAAAATCTTCAAACCATTCTTGCAGACATACCTGATAATTATTTCCAACTTGTCCTTCTGAACGAGGATACGATATTCAAAAACTTAATGTAGATTTTTAGTCCCCTACCAGTTTACCGGAGGGGACTTTAGGTTTACCCTCTGTCCGTCCGTCCGTCCGTCTGTCAGTCCATCCGTCCACAAAACTGGATCCCGCGATAACTTGAAAAGTACTGAAAATATTTTTATGAAACTTGGTATATGGATAGATGGCAGTATGAGATTATGCACGTCTTTTCCTTTTCTTCCTATGTTGAAAATTCTGGTTGCTATGGCAACAAATAGGCTGAAAATATGGAAAATTTTACACATAAACTGAATCCAGTGATAACGCAATAAGTACTAGAAATATTCTTATGAAAACTTGACATATGGGTAGGCGGCAGTCTTGAGATTATGCACGCCTTTTTCTTTTCTTCCTATGTTGAAAATTATGGTTGCTATGGCAACACATAGACTGAAAAAATGGCAACTTTTACACATAAACTGAATCCAGTGATAACTCAAAAGTACTGGAAATATTTTATGAAACTTGACATATGGTAGAAGGCAGTCTTGAGATTAATGCATGTCTTATCTGTTTTCCTATTTGAAAAAATATCAGTTGCCTTGGCAACAAATAGGCTTAAAACATGGCAAATATAACAATATTTGTGATTAGTCAAAAAGAGCTGAAAATTTTTATAAAATTGCATCTTTAATTCAAGAGTTATCTCCTGTTTAAGAATTTTGCTTTTATAATGTTATATTTTGGTAACAGGGATGTTTCAAATATTAACTTTAGAGTGTCCTTCAGTCCGTCTGTCTGTCTGTTCATAAAAACTGTTTCCTGTGATCACTTTTAAAGAACTTTTCCAACAAATTTACTTAAAATAGAGAAAAATTGAAACATTAGTGAATGGCCCTTCAGAATGTTGATGGGGTTCTAACCTGTAGGGGACTTATGGATTGCTTGCAATACTATGATAATTGCTTGTTTTATAAGTATGCTTTCTTTCTTCATTGAAAGTAATTTAAAGATAGTGTCCAATATTGCTATGGCGTTATCATAAACACTTGAAGCCCTCCATGTGATGGATGGGACTTTCCTTATTTCGAGATGAACGAAGACCTCGGGGGACCCCTCCTTGCGACTTTGTGTAAGATATTTTATGAGCAGCAGTTCAGAAAAAGAAACGGAACTAACTGAAAAGTATGTACGGTTGTGATTATCAAGTTTCCTGCATTTTTCTTGTAAACGATGAACAAAGAAAATGCACAGTTTGAAATAAAAAGTATCATAACAGTCTTCAGAAGATCTGAAAAATATTTATCAAAATAAAAAAAAATATGTTTAACTATCGGACAGAGCAAACGTCACAGAATATGGTATATGATTTGTTATTATAAAGGAAAAAATAACGATTTATTCTGCCACAACACTTTATTCTCATCAAAATGAAGCAAAAACAACAAAGAAAAATACATTGTAATCAAAATAAATTAACATATACATGTACAAATGATGACAGTATTGATAAAAGTAGGTCATGTGA